AAAAGTGTTCTAATAATGTACTACATATAGGTAATATATTCTTTCATAACTTTATAGTTTTTGTTTGTAGTTGATAACTATTTTAAGTGAAAACGCTTAATGCTTTATTTATAGGAAAGAAGCTAATAAAAAAGAGAGCTGTAGATTTCTTAGTCAATACAAGATGAACCAATTTTTTAGATTTAGATGTTGGGAATTTTGGACGGGGATAGTTTACTAAGAATTTTTGAGAAAAGTTATAAATTTGCAATGCTTCCTAATTCAGATCGCTTCATTTCAAATATAAAAAGTATAAAACGCAACAAAAAGCAAAACAAAAAGTCATATCAAATCGAACAGCGATACTTCTATTGTATGTTTTTTTTCTTAAAATACTATCTCCAGTTTTCACACTGCTGGGCTAAGAGATCTAATCTAATCTAATAATAATACGGTCTAACAATTTTACTTACTTACACATTATTACATATACAACCGTTGTAATCATTAGAAATACTAAAAGGATGTCGATCTTCCATTGTCTTTATTTTTAACTTACACAACGTTTCGGACAGTTGTGTCACTGCCCGTTATCAAGTGTAAACTATTTTTTCTATATGCCTTTTTCTTTACCGTGCGATTATTTTGTTCTTGTAAGACTAGCTCAGTTTACTTTTACTATTCTCATGGGCCATTCAAAGCCAAAAATCCTTCAAAATTCCTAAAATTCAAAGTATATTCTCTTATAGTTCAATATGAAATCTGTATGAAATTGGAAAGAAACAGATGATATTCCGAGTTATTTTCAATCAGATGTGGAAACTATATTTTTCGTCCTATCTATCCAATGCATTCTTTGTCGCATTTGCCTAGAATGCTGTAAACTCCTCGGGTCTCAAACGAAATTCTGTCTTTATTGGATCGAAGATGTTGAAGATTTTTGGACGAGTGTTGAATATAATACAATAATATTTCTTAATAATTTTTGATATGATTAGTAATGTCTTAAATGTAAGGAAAGTGTTGCTTAGCAGTAGTTGCTTTGGGACTTATTTTCTTTAGGAGGTTGTGGCGAAGTGTTTTTCCTAATGGAAGGCTTAATATCTCTAATGTGGCAATTATTTAAGAGATGAACAAAAAGTAGGTGTTTTAATTCGTGGTCCAGAGATTTGGATTAAGACAGTTTTATTGCTCTGTAAACAAGAGAGTTGATATCCGATTACTTCTGGTCCTGATATGGTATCGGTCTGTGTATGTAGGTTCTCTGTAAACTAAATTATCCAACATTAGATCTGATCTTCTATTAATAAGAATATCTGAGAATGGAACATTATTATTAGTTTCTGATTCAATGGTAAAACGTGCGTTAAAATGTACAAAGTTTAATTGGATCATAAAATCTCGGAAAGTTGTGATAATTGTGAATAAATTTTTCATTAACAGAGTACATATATTCTAGACGAGCATTTTTCTTTTTATATTTTAATATATCTGAAATGATATTGGGATAGGGATTTCAGTACAGAGAAACTCTACGTCGAAACTAACCAGAATATCGTTTGAATTTGATGTAATAGTGTTTAATTGTTGAATGAAGTGATATGACTTAAGTGCGAAACCATTAGTTTTCCAGGTTTTCCCGGTAATGGTTTTTGTATAGACGCTAGATACTTTGCTATAGAATAAGTTGGAGAACCAGAATCTTGGGAAGTCCGTAGAAACAAGGAGTTTTACAGGCATGTGGGGTGACAGATTTTTCACGGATTTTAATTTCATGTCACATTCTATAGATTTATTTTAGAGATTTTGGAGGTTAGGATTTCTTAAGGATTTCATTAGATGTTTGAGATGGCACTTTGTTTATTGTAGACTCGACATTTGAAAGTATTTCCTCTTTTGGGATAATACATTGGACAAGGACGCAGTTGGAACCTTTTCCAAGAACTGATTTTTCAGTAAAGTAAAATTTTTCAAATATAAAAATGAAATAACCTAAAAATATTAAATAAAACTAATGAACTTTTTCTACTCCCGTTTGTAATTACACACCGATCTAGCGTGCGGGAAGCGTCACTTTAACACGTCAGTTTCGTTTCCCGCGGATCCGAGCCACTTCGGACGTTTCCGGAATTTTACCGCACGTGGTTGGGAGCAATCGGATGTTTTCGGAGATATTTCCCACGCCTTGAATTTGGACGTTTGTCAATTCTGACGGTTTTGTCAGTGAATGTATTCGTGTTGCTTTGCGATGTACCCAAAATATAACGGTGGTAGAAAAAATGTGATATGCAATGGTAAACTTTTTAAGTCACTCGTTTAATAAAACTTGTGATTTAAATATCGTTTTCCTATTCCCGTATGTAAAATGCCTAATTACACACTGATGTAGCGTTTGGGAAGCGCCACTTTACCACGCGAGTTTCGTTTGCCACGGATCCTGAGCAACTTCGGACATTTCCGGGATTTTACCGCACGGGTTTGGGAGCAATCGAATGTTTTCGGAGATTTAACTGCACGGTTTGAATTTTGGCGTTTGTTAATTCTGACGGCCATGTCCGTGAATGTATTCTTGTTGTTTTGCAAAAATGTACCCACAAACTAATACATATCAGAGAATTTAAATATTAGGTCCTTTAAGCTATAATTAAAATCTGGTACATGTATAATTTAAGTTTCCCACAGAAATTTTACATACCGTTCGCATGAACTTTAGTGGTTTTTACAGTTTTTATATTAATATCTTGCGAAGACCAATTGTACGATTTTCAAGTATCCATGTCTCATCAATACAAACAAAACAAAATTCAAAGTTAGGACCTGCTTTTTCGTGCTTATACGATATTAAAAATGTAATCCTCTTGAAAGCCCTATCCTTGGATAATTTTTCTTCCAATTACAGTCTTTTTCTTTAAATGAACTACTTAATGATCAATTGTAAAAGTTAAATAAACAACATAAAGTTATAAAAATTTGTACACAGTTAAAATGAGACAACAATAGCAGGACCAATCGCAACGATAAACGAATAAGTTTAATCGCAACTAATAAATATTTTGTTTGGATGGTACGAAATTTAGTAATCCGATCATCTGTTTTTATTTTAAATTTGTTAAATTGTGATTTTTTCGTGACGGCCGTAGAAAAAGTATAGTGTGCAACACGTTTGGCAAACTCTTTATCTCACTCGTTTATTAAGCACTCGCTCCGCTCGTACCAAATAAACTCCAAATGCCTCAAATGCTTCTTACTGCCGTTAACCGCACAATATAGTATAATATGGTATTACCGCACTTGTTGCAAATCCATATTAAATTCTTCAGGAAGTAAATAATAAAATGCTTTAGCAACAATATATGTTTCTGCTTGAACTCGATTTCGACTAATTAAAAAACAAGAGCCAATATAGGCGGGCCATATCAGCAAAAATCCAATGGACACAATTCTATGCGAGGGCAAAGCTCTTTTCTTCGATTTAGATTGATCATACTGCTTTCTCATTGGTTCGACACCGTTATAAAATTATCGTATGGTGTAGAAATTTGGTAGGGACGCTCATGTGCCGGGCGCCTGAGTTACGACTATTTTAACTTTTCTCGCCGCCAGCGCGTTGCGACACCTTGCGACTTTCTTAGGGCTCTGCGTCTGGCGACAATTTACGATTATCGTTGGACACCTTCGCCAGATTAGTTTCGGTGACGTATTATGGACCATCTTATATTGAAGGTCCAAACGTGTTATTCTAGAATGTCGCCTTTTTTGTTCAACAATGCGAAAGAATAATAAATCATTATTAAACTGCAAAAATCAGTGGTCTCAATAATTTTCGTATCTGAAAACCACTCTGCTGTTTACCCTTACCTCTCCTTTCTCCTTTGTCCTGCGACTTCTCTCTTTATTGAAAACTATATTTAATTAATAACTAATAATGTATTCTAAACTCTGCCTAACATATTTAGTTTTGTTTATTTGATTCTTTTGTTTTTCTTGTTCTTAGGGTAATTTGGTTTACATTAAATTGAGGCTTAAACAGTGTCTGGCTTTGCTGGATATCTGCGTTCTATTAAGCCTTTTGTTTGCCTTAAAAGTGGTACCATCTAATATTTTGTAGTGTAATAATGTGTATATTTAGCAAAGCAATAAATGTATTTATTATTATTATTTATTATCGTATATCGACTTGTCCACTTGAATAAACGCGGGCCCATCAGGTCGCCAAGGAGAAATACAGAAAAAAAGACAGTGTAGTAAATGAGTACGAAAAGACTGGAATCACATTCGTTTTACTTAAAAAAAAATAATATCTAAAATGAAAAGAAGATATTGTGAAATGAGTTTTAGTTGTGCAAAAACTCAAAAAAAGAAAATCATTTTTAATAGAGAAAGACAAAATTATCCGCTGAGACAGTTTCGAATGGAAAACACTGATATCTATTATCTGGACAAAACTTGGACAAATGAAAGCTATACCGCTGGTAAAACACGACAGGATAAAAATTTAAAAAGCGGCAGGCAGGCTTTCATGGAAGGATGGTGTGGACCATGGTATCCCGACTAATAACTCACATTGGTAGTTATTGGACTCGAACGGCTACAGTTCATCTAGCTACTAGGAATACGACAAATAATCATATTTAGTACAATTTATCTATTTTCATATTATTACTATATAAGTTTTAATACACTTGGTCTTAGAATAATATATTATCTGCCTATCCCTACACTTATAATCATGGATAATTATTATTGCATTTATTATTCTAATAAACTACTTTTAATTACGCCGCCGTCACTGTCATTCACCGAATTCGTGTTTCTATTGTCTGAAAATTATTGTGTTCCTAATTTAGTAACGATTCCAGGTGTATGGGTCTTAAAAACTGAAATACGGAATTCATCGGATATCATTGCTGTTTATCGGAAGTTTATCACGTTTAATTCGTTCGCCCTGTTTAATCATTTTATGAATATTTCGCATTTAGAAATGTAATATAGTCGGAAAATAAATTTTCCTATTGTTCCAGTGCCGTTCAAGAAAGCGGCTACGCCGGGAAAGTTAACCCCCAAAACACCGGAAAGGTAAGTAAAACCTTTGACGTTAAACGAACATTTTAAAATTCAGTTAACCCCCAAAACACCGGAAAGGTAAGTAAAACCTTTGACGTTAAACGAACATTTTAAAATTCAGTATGGCCAAAGATAAGTCAAATTTTTCGCGAGCTCAACTTCGTTTTCAGATACATAGTGTCAAAGTTTTTAGAAAAAATAATTTTCCTATGGATTACTCATTTTTAATGTGTGATTGTGTAAAATGAAATTGTTCGAAGAAAAATAACACTTTTTAGGCTTTTTACTTTTTTCGCGTCTATCTTCGTCTAAAAAATTGACACAGACTTCGTGAGCTTGAACTTTATTATTGGATGAGAAATAGCCACACTTAAAGACTGGAGCATGTGAGAAATGAACAAATTCGTTAGATTATGCGAGTCAACGATAAGACAAATGACATCGAATATAAACGGCCACTTTGAACGAATAGGTAGCATCTTTTACTTTTTACGGCAAAAGAATAAAAAAACAAATTTAATTTTGAAATGAACAGTTAAGTAGCTAGTAGCAGTAAAGTTTTTAAATAGTTACGATTACATTTCTGTCAGTCAGAGAATTCAAGAATTTTGGAATTTGTTAAATTCAAAATGTTCGGAAAGATACAATAACAAGATCCACTTAATTCCCACTCTCGTAGTTTCTTTCCCAAATTCAAATCAAACTGATATGCGATATAAATACGGTATTTCCAGTACAGTGGATTGGTAGAAGGGGCTCAATAGAATGGCCTGCAAGGTCTTCGGATATTACTCCACTGGATTTTTTCCTCTGGGGAAGAATAAATAAGGAAAATCTTCAAAATTTAGATGATTTAAAATTTAAAATTAGAAAATATGATCAAAAAATTAAAATAATTTCTTTGACATTTCTTTGAATTTTCTCTTAATTTTTCTCACTGTCGGTCTTATAAACTTATTGAGTTCTCATTCTGTCTCCATATGCAATACAAATTAAGATTTCAATTGTCTAAGTTTCATTTACGTGCGCCATATTCATTTTCTGCACTGACAGAAATTTAATTGCGATAATTTAAGAACTAGCTACTTAATTTCGATATTAAATTTCTATTTTTCTGTGCTCATAAAAAGTAAGAGATAGGTTGAGGGTATGCTACACGAATTACGAGTTCCATTTATATTTGTATATTGTATATTTTTTATTTACTGCAAATAATGCGCACGAATAAGTTGTGATGGGGTGGGCGAGCATTTTTCTTGAAATCGAATACCTGGTTTTAGCGGTCTACTGTAGCTATATATAAAATTGATCGCGTATCATGATTTTATCTTAAAGCCTTTGTACTAAATTGTGAATCACTCCCTCTCTACTTCCGCAAACCCAATTTAACCGTCTGTATATAGAGAGCGGCCGCAAAACCGCAGAACCAAGTGAATTAGGGGCATCAATAATAGGCGTCGCTTAGTGCTAATTGAAGCCGTAAAGAGGCAGAGTGTATGGGCGTCGGAACGCCGTAAAGCACCGTCCCCGTAGGGGCGTCCGTAAACATCCGACCCGTTTTTGGTTCGACCAGGCAGCGGTCAGCGGTTTTTTATGGCGTCGCGGTGGGGATCTAATTTCTGTTTTTGTATACCGACGCGACGAGGAACAGGCTTGATATTTACCATAGAAAAGGAAATACACCTTGAGCTTGACCAGCGTCCAAGGTGTCGCACCGAACTGGTCTCGACTTTGTTACTTTCAAAAAATTCGATTTTTCGAAAGTATCTACGCTCTCGGTAACAGTAGGACCTATGGGATCGCCATTGGTATAGAAATTATCAGTGCCGAAAAAAAAAATTTTGTTGTCTGTTCGTTCTTCGTTTTCCGTTCTCGTCTTTTGCTTTTTCCTGAATAATTTTCGAACCGTTGGAGCTACAACCTTGAAACTTGCCTCCTTTTTAACCCTCCACGAGACCCAAGCTTATAAGAAACGACGTCGATAAAACGCCGGCATCGATCTTTTTTTCGCATTTTTTTGCACATATATGCAGCTTTGCCCCTTAACGGAACCTATTGAAAATGGGGGCTGGGGGTCGGGAAGTATTTAAACAAAAAAAAATCGCGTGTGCAAGGGTCTAAAAAAAAGATCATTTTCGAGACCGAAAAACCTCTTGAACTAGAGGACGCAGAAGATACGGTCCCATAAACTTTTATTCTTGACAATTTTTCAGAAAAACTTAAAAATGTTTCCCCCTATTATTGAAAATTGGCTATAACTGAAAGACTATAATTCAGATGTCACTTCCTTTTACATTGCGATGTAGCCTGTATTGGCAGCTAAAATTTTTGTATTTAAGGTTTTTATTTATTGTACAGGGTGTTTCCCGTATTCCGTGTCATATAAGAAATATGTTAAGTGTCCTAAATTTGTAGTATCAACTTCAAATTTAGCAGCGAAGTAATGGTCCGTGTCCGCATTTAAACAATAGAAATTGCGTGCAAGGAAAATTCACCAAATATATTTTTAAAATTGTTGAAACATTAATTTTTGTTTTTTTTTTGTTTTTTTTCTCCATAACCATTCACCGGATCGGTAAAATTGTTTAACCCGCAGACGCAGAAGATCTAGTGCTCTAATATTGGTTTCAAGTTTTTTTTCAATTATATACAGGGTTTTCCAATTATAGACAAAAATCTAAAAGACCCAGAAAATTGTTCTTTTCCAGAAGAAATTATTAACCCTGAATCAAAAATCGTAAAAAAATATGACCAATCGGTTCAAACAGTGTCATAGACCGCATCAAGAGCTACTGTTTTTTTATTTACGGTTACGATTATACTTTTTATAAAACAGTTTTTATAAAACTTCTGGATTCCTCCTGTGTCGGTTTTTGTTGAGTCGAACTAGCTAACGTTTCACCAATCATCCTGTTGGCTTCTTCAGAACTGGACTGAAACTGGCTCGTATTTTACTCTGTACCTGCTTTTATATTGTTTTAGGGGGGCCAAGCTAAATAAGGGGTATATAAACACCGTCTCGGATGACACCTTACCTCTGCTCTTCTCTCACATTAAAGATATTAATCGTTCCATCACAAAATACACTTAAGCACAACCTTCCAATAGCAATGAAGCCGAAAGCAATCCCACTCTGGCCACTGTTGTACTTCCTTATATTCAAAGCATCACTGACCACATATCAAAAGTTCTAAAGAAATATAACTTCAAAACCAGATTTACCACTTGTCCAAAAATCTCTCAAGATCTTCGATCTGTCAAAAACAACATTCGATTTGAGATGCCAGGAGTTTACAGCATTCCATGCATATGTGGCAAAGAATACATTGGAGAGACCGGACGAAAAATATCAGCTGGACTGAAAGAACACGAAAGAGCCTCAAGACTAAGGCAAATAAACTCATCAGTATTTGCCGAACACAATAACAAAACCAGACATAAAATTTTATTCGATAAAACTAAAATTCTTGCATGTAATCAATTCTTCTACCAACGAAAAATCTATAAGTTTATCGAAATCTATAAGCAGCCTAACAATCTTAACCGCGACTCAGGTCTCTACCTGACACCAATATGGTGCTCCGGCGCCCTCAAACAATATAAAATCAGGTACAGAGTAAAATACGAGCCAGTTTCAGTCAAGATCTGAAGAAGGAAACAGGATGATTGGCGAAAGGTTAGCTAGTTCGACTCAACAAAAACCGACGCAGGGAGTCCAGAAGTTTTATAAAAAGTACGCGATGACGTCATTGATTATTACGGGGCACTGCATGGTTTCAGAAAAAACTTATTTTCTCGAAAATCATTTACTGTTTAGGAAAAATTCTTGGACCAGGAAACGTGGGAGATCTAGGGCTATAACCTCAATTATGTACAGGGTGTGTCGATTATGGGTAAAGAAATCTAAAAGACCCTGAAAATTGCTGTTTTCGTTTGTAAATTATTAGCCGTTAATGAAATGAAATGACCTTAGTTACTCTGTCCGAATACATCTGCTCGTATGGCAATTGTGTGTACCCTTTATGAGTTGAAAGGAAGGGACTGTTAGTCACACACGCTAATCAAATCTGTCGCTAATCAATCGTTAAACGATTCCACAGGAAACGGCGGGCCTCCAATTCCGACACTCCGGGTTCGACGAAGAAGGTGCTGGACAGTATTGAAAAGTCCTTGAATAGGGTGCGCTACGCGTTTACGCCCAAAAGGAACTGCGAAAACGCTCCTCGGCAACCCGTTTTACTCAACAACAACGTGAGTTGTCCGATTCGAGAGTGGGAGCAATTTTTCGCATTTTATTTTCAATTTTAACAGGAGTTATTTAGCGTCTCGACTACCCAGTGCAAGGATCCCGAGCTTATCATCAACGAACTCTCCAAGGGCTTCAAGCAACGGGGTATAGAGTGTAAACGTAAGGGGTAAGTGGCGATCATAATTACCATCATTATCTCTGACTTTCCGTCTGTTTTCAAACATGTATCTTTTAACAATTCGCTTATGATTCGCAACTGCTTCAAACAAATGAAGTATTTGACGCAACTATAATGGCTAACGAGGAAATTCTCCATTCGGTATATATTCACCTCATAATCTAAAGCTTAATGCCAATAAGTTAGTGGCCATAGGTAAAAGTCATGTAAAATTAGCAATGAATAATGAATGAAAAAATCTAGCTCTAGACTAGAATACCTTATATTAGGAACTAAAAGAGTTAAATAATAAAGTTGTCCACAAAACATATCAATTGATTCTGTCAGTTCTCGTATAGATTGCTTAGGGAACTATCCAAATCTTAAAATAATTTCTTCGAACCTTAAATTATCTTTGTGGGAGCCATTAATTACATCCAATTATATCATATGCTGATAGAGTTTATGGTCCAACTTCAACCGCGAACGATAGTGACAGATTCCAGAAAGATTAGGAAGTATTAGAAATTATACGGGCCCTAACAACTAATTGTTCGGAAAATGTACGAAATAATAAGAAAACATATTTATATGCTTTTTACAAAACTTCTGACAAAAACTGACACTAACCAGTTTCAGTCAAGCTCTGAAGAAGCCAACAGAATGATTGGCGAAACGTCAGCAATTTCGACTCAGCAAAAACCGACGCAGGAGGAATCCAGAAGTTTTATAAAAAGCATTACAATAGCCTGTGGAAGTTGCTTTGAAAAACATATTTAAACTTATTTTAAATTGATTTTTTTTGCCTTTTCGATTGAAAAATGAAATCACGCATTTAATTTTATACCAAAAAGTGCTATCGTAATGAATTATTTTTTTATTTCACATAAATTACATAACAAAATATCAAGAACATATCGAATTTGCTGACAAATAAATATTCGGACGCATTTAAATCTTTTACTTTAAATCGAACATTAATAAGAAGTAACATCACCTTTCGCGAAAATAACAGCTTTTATGCGTTTTGGCATGGAATCTATCAAAGTCTTGCAATATTCGGGGGTGAAAGTGTTCCAAATTTCGGTGATTTTCGCCTTTAATGCTGGAACTGTACGCTGAGGATTGTTACGCAAAGTCTTTTTTTTTTATCGTTTTTTACGTCGTCCGAACATTTAGTTGTTAGGCTCGTAATAGGAGCAGTCACTTTATACGCACAGTACAAAAAGGTCTGAATCTTAAATAATTGAGGTATCTCCTTAATCTTACAACACAATAGTAGCTAATCAGACGTCTTATTTGTCTAAAGAGCTTGTCAGGAAGCTAAATAATACTAATACAAGAAAAAAACAATTGCGACTTTTACCTCGATATATCACGGCAAACGAAGAATCTAAATTGATCAACAAAGTAGATTTTTTAAAGGACTTATTCTGACTTAATTACAAAAAACTTTAAAATACATTTATTTTTGATAACGAGAACGATTTTTATTACAAGCACCGCCAATGTTTCTGTTTGTGTTTAAAAGCATCCTCTTAGTGATCACAGACATCCAACTTTGTTGTGATTCCAACGTAGGCATTTTGGCAAGGGACGAGTGGGGTGAGGAGTGTTGCCTACAAATGAATGGTTCCTATGGTAACCACGTAAGTTGGGGGAATATCATGTAACAATTTTAAAAATTTCATAACTATTTTAGAGAGGAAACAATTTCTTATCCTATTCCTTTTGATTTCTTGCCTTTTTCGTCAATAAAGATCCAATAATAATAATAACACTAATATGGAGACGTAGCAAATGGTAATAATACGCGCAATACAAGGGGAGGTCACGTCGGAGGTTAATGCGATCGGTGGGAACGTCCGTTATTTTTACTTTGAAAATTGGCCCATTTGTTTCACGTCCGATGTTTTATATTCCTTTAAGCGGGTGTCGCGTTTTTTTCTGCTTTTTGCCCCGCTCGTGTATTATTATCGCTATTCTTTCTAAACTGAATGTCAAAATTTTTTTCCTGGTAAATAGGTGGTGGTATGTTTTGGTTTTTTCTGTTACAAAAGTTTATCTACGTTTTCGTTTTATTTATTTATTTATTTATTTATATTTCACAGGAAAATGCAGCTACCCAATTACAAATTGGCACAATATAGGCTCATACTATTTAACAAAATCGGGAATTGGAACATAAAATTTCTTACCTCTACAATGAAAGCAAAGGTTGGATTTAAATAAGTCCGAGCATATCTTATTTTAGGAAAGTTAGAAAAGTAATTCTATGTAAATCGTTCAATAGAAAACGTTAGTCTCGTTCGCACCCGATATTGATTAGCGTTAAAGCTCAAGTAATTGATACAAAAAGTAGAATCCACAAGGTTATTTACAACTTTGTAAGTAAAAGCAACATCAAAACAGTTTCGTCTAGTTTCAAGCGACTTTTTTCGTAGGTTGTATCTAAAGTTTAAGGTTTGTTTGTATGCTTTCTATTCTGATTATATATTTATTATAAATAGGATTCCAAACTGGGAATTAATACTCTAGTACAGACCTTATCATGCTATTATACACGATTATTACTGACTGATGCTTATTGAATCCTTTGGTATTTCGGCTATTTATTATCAGGCATGAAATTAATATCTATAAAAACATTTTTCCTTGTAAACATAATATATCGACATTTATCAACATGTAAGATTAATCTGTGGTTTCTGCAATAATCAGAAAATCTGTCAAAATCGCTCCGAAGCTCTAATAGATCTAAATGTGAACGAATCCCTTTTTGCCCTTAAATCATCGGCGAAAGCAGCATAAACGGAAACCGAGAAACAAAGGCCCACATCGAAAACAAAAATATTAATTGGTATCGTTCTTTCATAGATCAATTTTTATATTGATAGTATTGAATGTACCTTGGTCAATTTTTAAAAATTGACAGGAAAATGTTAAAAAATCTAACAAGACTAATAAGCGGTCCCAAAACTATAACTACACTTTGCTAAGAACGTTTCATAAATAATGTTGTTGCAAATTTAGTGTTTTTTCACAAATTAAATTTAAGAATGCCGTTATGGTGGCTAATTTTTCCGACATTAATGTCCTTCTATCAAGTGCCTACACTGTGTTAAGTTTTGGTCACGACTGAGGGGTAGTCCATTGTTAGTGAAGATATAGGAGCAGGAAGGGTTTTAGAAGCAACAGGTCTGCTATATAGGTTATATTTATAACCCGCCACATATGGCCTGGAAAGGTCTTAGAATTTAATAAGAGAGCTTCATGGATCCATAGGGATTCCATAGGGAACACGAAGAACCACGCATATGTTAGAACGTCAAATAAATTGGGCAGTAACACATCTCCATCAATTAGTATAAAAAATGAGTTTAACAAAAATAATATTCCATATTTTTAAAAGACGAGGATAACTTACAAAGTCTTCTGTATAAATTCCAACAAATATCAAATGTTCCTAACTTGTAAAGATCGGTAAAAACAAAATCCCTTATAGTACCAAAAGAACCGAGAAGATGGGAGTCAGATCACTTGGTCTTCCAAATATATAACAAACTATAGGAATTTAAAGGACAAAGTGAAAGCAACAGCAAAGACATTTTTAGTATCAGAATAGGAGCAATAGAAGGAAAATCAGAACATATAAAACTTGCATAAGACCAGACATACGCAATACAAATCAAAGCTTTTAACAGTGTGTGTGTGTGTGACACTTAAGGTATAATACGATGGGCAAAAAACCGGAGATGGAAATGAAGAGACTACGTAGGCAGAATGCCAAATGATTATTTAAGATTGCAAAAGGTGAAAGACCAAATACACCTCGACTTCCTGGAAGTTGCAACATTTTCAACTGCTGGTTTTTAATTCAATGATACTAATGAATTCCTGTTGATTTTTAATATTGGAATTCGCTGATCCAAGACATTAGAGAGATGTTCAATGGGGTTCCGATCGGGTGATTGGAATGGTCATTCAAAACAATTATCTTTTTGTCTCTTGGATGCTTGTTTCATTTTTTCAAAGAACCGTATTCCACTTTTTTCTTAATCATACATGCATACAGATAAGCTCTGGCAACCGCAATAGATTTTTTTTAACAGCAAATCTTCCAGGAAGAACTCCTTCGATTAAGCGGGTTCTTGTCGTTCTACTAGTTACTTCCTCTATTTCATGATTTCGTTTTTCATTTGTCTGGAAATATTTTTTTACGATTTATTATTTATACGATACTAACACTATAGTGTCAAGACTAGAAAATTTATTATACAAAATTTTGTATAATTATTTCCAACCACAATTCCATTATCGCAAAGAAAAGATAACAAACATTCCTTTACATTTGTCAATTCTATGAAACTAAAAAAGCTCTAGCTTACTTCAGTCATTGATAATATAAACATATAAACATAAATATTCATTGAAACTATTAACTGATTTTTTCCAACATAAGGATATAAATTAATTCACGTGTATCTTAGATTATATCATAATTAAACAAGAAACATACATAAGGCCATTTGATTTAAAAATACGGAGAGAAGCCGAATTAGCATCGGACCACTTCTTACTAGTAGATAGCCTAATAAACGAATCCATTAGTTTCCTCTACAAACTGCCGCTAGCCAAAAAAAGAGAAGTGAAGATACACGGCACAGGTGAGGAAATGTACTAGACTTTCAAACAAAAATTGCATTATACTGTGCATGAAGCTCTTGGGACAAGAAAACAATATAACTTTTGGTGGACAGACGAACGCATTGAATTAAAAAAAAAGACTCTATATGAAATGGCTTACCACAGTGCAGTATACTCGCTACAGATACACACTAGCATGGGAATTAAAAGGGAGGAAGTAAAAAAGCTCTAGAAAAAATGAAGCGCAATAAGGCCTCAGGATCAGGTAATGTGCATATCGAATTATTGAACAAGCCCCAGTAACAGCGCTTGATATAATCTGCGTAATAATGGGTGTTTTTTTTTTTCGATGTATAGAACTTTAGGTTGGCGTTACTGTTCAAGATGGCGACCGATTTGACAGCTGTCAAGTGATTTATTATCAGTTTGGTTTGGCAATTCATCATGAATAGACAAGTAAGGCGTAGATTCGTCGAATGGGTCCAAAACGAGATTGCCGTTGTTCCCGATTTTCATAAGCGAATTTTGTTTAGCGATGAAGCGCACTTCTGGTTAAATGGCTACGTCAACAAACAAAACTGCCGCATTTGTAGCGAAGCTAATCCTCAAGTGTATGTCGAAACACCGTTACATCCAGAAAAACTGACTGTTTGGTGCGCTTTATGAGCTGGTGGAATCATTGGTCCGTACTTCTTCAAAAACGATGATGGCCAGAACGTTTTAGTCAATGGTGATCTGTATAGAGCTATGATTACTAACTCTTTCATTCCTGAATTGAATAACCATGATGTCCAGGAGATGTGGTTTCAACAAGACGGCGCAATATGCCACACAGCTCGTGCCACAATCGATTTATTGAAAGACACGTTTGGTGACCGCCTAATTTCACGTTTTGTACGTGTGAATTGGCATCCAAGATCTTGTGATTTTACACCGCTAGACTACTTTCTGTGGGGCTATGTAAAGTCATTGGTCTATGCGGATAAGCCACATGCGCTCGGCCATTTGGAAGACAACATTCGCCGTGTTATTGCCGATATACGGCCATAAATGTTAGCAAAAGTCATCGAGAATTGGACGTCCAGATTGGACTACATCCGCGCCAGCCGTAGCAGACAAATGCCAGAAATCATATTTAAAATGTAATGCCACAAGATTATCTTTCAGATAAATAAAATTCATGTCAATCGAATAATCCATCGTTGTTTTATTGCATCTTAAAGTTCTATACATCGAAAAAAAACACCCAACTGGTAGGAAGATCTCATATATAAATTCGATTTATGAGAAGCAAAATAGAAATAAATACGGAAATTATAGAGAAGTTAGCATAAAGTCGTTTGCAGCAAGACTGTATGGGAGAGTTCCAAAAGGCAGAATAGAAAGAAATTGAGGGGATTAAGGAACAAAGTGGTTTTAGACCAGGAAGATCCTGCACAGGTAACATATTCATTCACACTAAAAAAAATTAGCAGAGAATAGCCCAGCAAAGGGAAAAGAACTTCACGTTTCGTGAAGTGTGACAGTGAACACAGAAAAGGCGCAAAATATGGTTATAGGAGGAAGCAGCCAAGATATAAAATTGTACTAGTAAATGGGAGTTTCAATCCTTGAAAAAATAGTATCTAATAAAGCCGGCTATGACATATGGATTTACGGAAATTACTGTCAAAGGAGGTGACATACTGGAGAAGATGTGGCTTAATTTTTAAGATAGAATGTGTGCAACAAGTGCTATCAGGGACACGATGAATGACAAATCAAATGTATGGAATTGGATACCTTCACAAAGAAACAAAAGCGGAAGACCAATAAAAAAATGGATAAACCACATAGCTCTAGAAATGGAAGTAAGATGGCCGCAGGAAGGAGATTGGACAAACAAGAACTGATGGCATGAGGCGGCAATAGAGCTGCATAAACTCGCTATATACCACACTGTATAATTTTTTGCATCACTATAGTTGCTAGGGTTCGTAGTAAAACCGAGCGTATCGCGGCGGTGGCCTTTAGCGAGGCCGCTCGGGTGGTTCCTAATTGTAAAAATCCAAAACTCCACTCTCATGAAAACAAACCGCTCTTAATAATAATTGGATAATAAGATCACCGGCGCACATGATGAATGGATACCAATCATGACTGAATTGGCCTACGTAGATCGCTTCGTATTACTCTCGACGTAATTGATTTGCCCAGAATTACGATGAAAAATTTATTTCGTTGCGGCGATGAAGCGGGTTGCAATTTTTGTTGTTTTTAAATGCAACTGCTTGGGATTTTTATGCGCCGCGAATTTTACTGAATTGCATGTTTAATTCAACAACATATTAGGTATCCGGTTGCCACCTAAGAAGGCTCTCTAAAAGTAATTGTAAAGACTTAGGGTGGAAAAACTTGACTTAAGCAGTTGGAAATATCTCTTTCCTATCAGCAAAGGAAATAAATTAAAAGGTATATAACTATTAACTGCTCAGAAATTTTTTAGCTGATTTAGACAAATAAAGTTCCTTATGATCTCAAATAAGCATGCCCAGTTGTATGAAGATCGTTTTTGAAGTTTTTGAGTTACTGCTATTCCGTGGTGTTATAACCCCGTGTCGGTTTTAGCCGACTTGACAAAACTCCACCTTCATCTATTTGGTTTGGTTTGACCTGTTGGTTATCATAACGAGCGAATTTCTTTTACATTAAGAACAATATAATATAATACAAAATTTGAATTTTTGTTATGAAAACTTTTGTTAGACAATTTCTTACTCACATTGTACAACATATCCAGATTGCTTCCTAATTGTTTGTTATTTCAGTTTTATTGACATCGCTGGATTGGATCTATTTATAACTACCATTGTTCGGTCAGCAAGGCCAAAAAATTATTTTACTACCAACATTGTAAGACTAACCAAACAGAACTTGATTTACTATTTACAAATTTCCTGGATTCCTGCTACGTGGGTTGTTAAGTTTTTGAGTTTCACTACAACTGGTTTCTACTCTGCCCTGTACCTGCTTATATACTCTTTGAGGGGGCGGAGCTAAAGGAGTCCCATATTGGTGAGCCGCGGTTTATGTTAAGTTTATGTTAGGCAACTTCTGATGAGTTTATTTATCGCAGTGTTAAGGCTCTTTCATGTTCTTTGAGCCTAGTTGATACTTTTCGTCCGGTCTCTCCAGTTCTTGCCGCATATGCGTGGAATGCGTGGTGTGCCAATCAGAATTTTGTCGTTGCTGGATCTAACACGTTTACAGATTTTTCTATAAGTGGTGAATCTGGTTCTAACATTATATTTTTTAAGAACTTTTGATATGTAGTCAGTAAGGTTTTGAATATAAGAATGGACTACGGTGGCAAGTACGTTGTTGCTTTGGAACTCATTTTATTTTGGTTGTTTTGGTGAAGTGGAAATGATGATGCAATGATTTGGGTTGAGATTGTTTTACGGCTTTGTCGTTGCATGAACTGATCTACTGACCTACTGACCCAATGTCGGGTTAGAATATCTAAGAATGGAATATTATTGTTAGTTTATAATTCAACTCTAATTCACTCCGCCTCGTTTAAATAATATATAAGCAAGTACAGAGTAGAATGCAAAGGCGTCTCAGGTAACCTGCAAAGAAGTAAAGAGGATGTTAAAATTTCTTAAAAAAAAAGAAAACTTGGTATACACCATTACAATTACATATTTCACAATTGAGTGGAAGTTAAGTATTATAAGAGCATGATTCAAAATGTCTCCCTTTCAATTACATGTTTTAGTTAACGTTCTTCAAAAATATGTTTTCCAGATTCACTTTGAAGGGCAACCTGGAACCGAATCAGATCGGCAGATTCGGCGGTTGTTCGTTCGAACTTGAAATCTGCTACTTGCCTATCCTTGGTTTACCCCATACGTCCAACAATCGATCGGGTGCCGCCACCAAGGCGATCTTAAAGAAACCCCACGAAAGCAGAGACCATCAAGCGGTCACGGGCTCGCATTTAGTCGGTATCAGGAGGAAGAGATTGAAAGGCGATTCTTGGTGCTACAAGAAGGTTTGCGAACAGATTCTCGCACTTGCATCCCCAGCTGGATCGAGTGGGGACTCTGCGGTGTCCGAGTCGGCAGTGTAACTTCCGTTTCACTTCTCTACCTCGATAGTCATGTATATGTATAGGGATTTGATGGTCGAAGAACTCGACGCCTGTGAATTGTTTCAATAGGCGATTAATTTATATAGGTTGAGTCGGAAATATGGGTCATACCTTTAATGACCGATAATTGGTGTGGAACTGGAATTTTTTCGCTAACGGTTTCTAGGGTACAGGGCGCAAAAATGAAAAATTGCATATTAGGCGTCCCGATATTTTCATCCGAAGAATCTGCTATTAACGGTTGACCTATGTTTTCGACTCACCTTGGATAGTAGATTTTTGTAACCGTTAGATCTCGCATTACCCTTAAGATTGTCCTCCAACCTATGCGTTATAAAGTAAAGTTTTATTTTATTATTGGCATTATTGGGAATAAATATAATTATACTGTATACATTTTGTAAGGTTTATTACATTGCGTCCCTTTCAATCCTGTCAAATTAGGCACGAAAATAGAACTTCGAAGGCTTCTTCGTCCTGCTGGTGATTTGTCCCTCAATATTTTCACTATTCATTCTTCTGTCGTACCATCAAAGTGTTCATTCCATTTTATCTTTCGATCCAACACCCAGTCATTGATGCTATCTACCTCGCACGCTCACCTAATATCTTCACTTCTTTCCCTATCCACGAGCGTGTTTCCTGCTATTTTTCGAACTATTTTGATAGGGGTTTCTACTGCATAGGTCGGTATAGGTCTAATAGCAATTTTATATATCCTGGATTTTGCTTCAATTCGGATGTGTTTATTTCACCAGATCGTTCAGGTATGCTGCTGCCCTAGACGCTCATCTAGCTTGGTTCCGTATCCAGATATTTCAATTCCTGAATATTGTATTTAATCACACGTTTGCGTCTGATCGTTGACATGGAAGTGACTATCGATTTTGTTTTTGCCGGAGATAAAACCATATTAAATTGTTTGGCTGTGTTACTGAACTGGTACAGAACTCTTTGAAGATCATCTTCGTTCTCCGCCACAAGAATCGCGTCATCTGCAAAGCAGAGAACTTTCGCTTCCTTATTTCCCATTTTGTATCCTCTTCGTTTGCGAACTTGCTGGCTTAAAGAGTTCCAGGGCTTGCAGATATTTGTTGGGTTAGTTCGCCATTTATTTTTGCTTCAATGTTATTTTCCCTGTATATATTTTCAATTGTTTTGATGATATTGAATGGAATTGGCCTGTCGTAAAGAAGGTGTATAATATCTTTGAATTGTATTCAATCGAAGACTTTCTGCATGAAGGCTGGTCGGTTGTTTTCGGTTGATTTTTCTGTTATTTCATTTTTTTTCTGTTCTTTGGTTTCTTCTTCTTCTTATTATTATGATTATCTTTTTGTTATTATTAGCCGAGAGATTTGTTTCTGCAGTTCATAGAAGTCACGTTCCATCCTTTTGGAGAAGATTTCCCAGTGTTGGTCTTTGGTTTCTCTAACTAGTGTTTTAGCGTCGTTGCGGATTCTCTTATATTCTTCGTATGCTTCTACCGTTTTTGATGACATATGCTTTTAGTAGGCTTCTTTTTTCTTTTTGTATTGCTGTTTAATATTACTACAGAACCGCGATGTTTTGTTTGTTCCTTGTTTTTGCAGTTTTATAGTTCGTGTTCCGAGCGATTCGATTGCTTCTCTATGATGTTCTCTTTTAGTTTCTGCCAACTATTGTTAATATCTAATTGAAAACCACATTGAGTTTTATAATCCCATAGTTTTTCCCTACAAGATTCTACATGCTCCTCAATCTTACTTTATCATATATAAGCTTTATGATGATTTTAAATCCAATATAAAAACTGTTTCGTTCGAAACATACCGAAAAGTTTTTTAATAGGAAAATATAGGTTTCAGTAAAGCATCTTAAGATCCCTAATTCCTGATTTATAGTGAACATATAAATCAAATAAAAGAAAACGAAAAAGATGCCATAGAAAAACTATTATAAAAATAACTGACCAAGATGAAAGCATTAATAAAATGGGAAGATCTTGTGTAGTTTTAGAATAAAATAATTACAGCCAAGTTCTGGTGTTTTTTTTTTGTTAAGCTGTTAATATTCTGCTATAATGTAAAAAAACAAAATAGGCGGTGTATTTCCTGCTCCAAAATGCTTTAATAATGATTTTTCAATTGCTGCAGATTTGTATTCATTTTGAAATTTTATTTGAAATAGATGCTTCATAATATACTAGCAAGTGATTATAAGTAAGTAAATTTACATGTTTTTTGGTTTGTAAATAATACTTACGATACTTTCATTTTTGCTGACGTGGTTTTTAAATAGTGGGGATATTTGGCCCCCGGTGTATTTATTATTATTTTTTTAGTTTCTACTTGAGTTTCTACATACGAGCCATGAGGTAGACGGACAGTCCCAAGCCCCATCGAGTCGGATGTGCGTGATTTAAAATCGTTCTCTGAAAAAAAAAGTCGTAATAATTCGAAGGGGGCCCGGGGAGAGGGACGCAGTACGTCAGCCTCTCTCTACGGTTGGCAGCTCGTGCGAGACTGGGCCACTTCCGCACGGGGCACGCGCTCCCTCCGCCATCTTAGATCCGGCCGCAAGATACGAGTCTTCGTCTTTCATTCATTAGTTCTGTTTTGTTACGCGGTGTCCAGTATCGCAGATTTGTTCAATTGAAAATTCTGTTAGGAAAAGTTTGGGAAAAGTAACTGAGAAGGCCGATTGTGAAAGCGCTTTTTATTAATTGGTCCCTAATTTTTCAAAATTTTTGATCACTTCTTGTCAGCTTTCGTTTTGTCGAAATAATTTACATAATTAAAGATTGTACGTTTGACTTTTAGAAGCTTTTATGGACATAGAAAGGCATTTTTTTTACGAAAATGTGTTATTTTTTATACCGGATTTATTTGCTTTCTTATTCCAATTTTACTCCAAAGATCAAAGTATAAACATTTTCCTGCGGAAATATGTGCATTTTGCTAAGAAATGTTTGGAATAGCTCAAATCTTTAATTTGGTAAAAAATGAAGATGAAATCCTGCTAGTATGGATATTATGCACCCAAAAGGTATTTTTTAAAGTTATTTTTCAGGTGTCACAGAATTTTTTTGTTGTACAACGTCAAGTTTATATAGATGACATGTTCAACCAGCCTGACCTAACCAGATATGTTGAAATATCAGTTTAAGACAATGATAAAAAAATGATCAAGCTGTGATAGTACTATAGTATCGCAATGAACATGCGGTGAGACAGTGACTAGTTCCATAAATTAATTTTAGATTACTGTATGCAGCAACCTTTAACTTTTTTGTAAGGTGTTCTCTGAATTTTAGCCGAGAATCTAGAGTAAACCCTAAACTTTTGCAACAACAAAGGGAAAAACATTTAATTATCATTACCAAATATTATTATGATTAAGTAGGAGCATATATTCAGGGACAGAATCGTAAAATATTTAAAAATGTGAATTAATACTGTGACGTGCTTCGTTAAGGCATTTCCCAGAAAAAGAAAACTACCGGGTAATCATTTATAATGCCCCCCCCCCACCCTTAAAACTTTTTTATTTATTATTTAGGAAAAAAACGTCAAATTAAAAGTTAGTCAAAAAGTAGTAAGCTATTTGCAAGATGTAGTTTGATAGCCCCAGGGTGTTGCAGAAATTACTCACATAACACCCTGTATATTATATATTGTAAAATATTTATGAGGAATAATTTTTTTGAAAATAACATTTGTGCTACGTTTTCACTGAATAGTGAATTCCTTTTTAATACTCATGATGGTTTTTAAATGGACTTCAAATTGGTACGGGATATTACATTCGAATTTCAGAAATTTCTGAAATTTCAGTAATTGCTATCATGATTTTTAAAACTCAATTTCTACAAAAATTTTCGTTATTAACCATAATCAGAGTGAGTGTTATTTTGAAGCTTAGATAAACGTAAATCTGTTTTGTTTAATGGCGTTTGCTCTATCTCTGCAAGGAAAACTGGTGGGAGATGATCGAAAGGTTTTTTGTGTTTTGCCACTTGAAGTAAAAATGATCAAAAATGTTTTGTGAATAATAAGCAGAAAACATATTTTTTTAATTGTTTTTAAAGCCCGCACTCTCCTTAATTATATTTAGCAGAAAAACTTCTGTCGCTCAAGAATTTGTTTCGAAAATATTCAGAAAGGACGTCTTGCTGCTTTATAGACATTCATTTAAAATTATTACAGATTAAGTTGATTTTCTTACTAATCTCGCTTGGTGTGTCAAGATACACAAACAAATAAAAACGTGTTTCCTAAGAATTTTGGTAAAGTATTTTCGACTTATGTGTTAGTTAAATTTAGGTTTTCAGTCAGTAGTCATAAAATATTTTTGCAAAAGCATCTTAAATTATTTTTGTGTAACGTGTAAGGTAGCGTATATATGTACCACATTTGATGTATTGCGGTAGAGGTGTTTAATGCACATTTAATAGACTGTTTTGAAATTTTTTTTTATTTTAGGTTTATAAAAAAAGTGTAAATATACGGAATGTCTAAAAAAATTTATACGGTGTCAGTATTCAATTTTTCAAATGAACTTATGTATTCAGTAATACTGTTTGATGTTTGAAAAATCATTAACTTAGCTTAGCCTAAAGAATTTGACATTTAATGTCCCCCAACAGAAATTGACAAAGACAAAGCTTTGAAACTATACGACCATATGCGGGGAAAATAATTGGCAGTTGAATTTATATTAATTTGTTAGATTGATTGATTTGGCGTTGTCTGGATCAGTTTTCTGTAGGTAAGTAAAAGTCTAACACATCACAAATGAAAGTCAAACTTGATAATATTTAATTAAAATGAAGCTATCTACAAAATACAAAAATCAATAAAATTCTTTATTAGAAAGAAAAAATTTTTTTGACTAATTATTATTAATCCAACAATATAGAAATAATTCAAGTACTAACTTTAGGCGTTGAGAAATTAATTGTTATTATTTTCCCAATGTGGTTTGCTCCATTTAGGTTTACTTTTAGGTCAAATGTTTGTCGGGAAATATAAGTCTATAGTGAATTGAGACTACAACAAAAAGGATACCGTGACACCCCATTTATTTACATTTTCAGAAAATCAAGGAAAAAAGTTTCCAAGAACCGACCAAGTGACACCAAAGAATACAGCATGTAGAGTTAGGTACGAGACGAAATCTAGTTTGTAATATCAATTTAAACCATTTTTACGTGCGTGTGTGTGTGCCCGCGGTCATTACCGTCGTCCCTCAGCAATAAACTTTGCGTTTAAACGTGGAGCTTTCCGCGTTGAGACGGACAAAAATAAAAGCAGTAGATGCGCGGAAAGGGCAAC